GAGAGTCTGTGTTACTTTGTTTACAGTGATAATATAATTTTTTATACGAACTGTCCGTATAAACGCGATGAATATTATAGTCCTAACTCCACAATGAAGTTGTAAGCCTGCCCCCTTATCCTATATTCTTTTTTTCATTTTTCTTTGCGTTTCCATATTTACACGAATATCTTTCCACGCTAAGCATACCCAAGCGTTTCCCAATTTTTTGTATCATTTCATAAATAATCCGCGACCCGTACATAAAAAAAAATACCGATCGCCTGATCGCCCCCAATCCTTCCCTTCATCAACAAGTTCATTAATATTGAGACTATCGATTTCTAATTGAGTTTCAATATAAGTCAAGCCTCAGTTCTCAAGCGATCGTTCACGATGCAGTAAATTTTTTTCTCTACCGGCGTGGAACTGACTTGGAGATTCTATGTTAAATAAATCTTATTAACGGACACACACATTCATCACTTTAGGCACTACATCTAAGACTAATATATCACTCCCCCACCACGGATGCAATAAGAAAAACATATGTACATACTCCAAAACGATTAAAAGAACTAGATATCTATCTCTAATACGTGTTATTACACTAACGAAAGGTGTAAACGTTACAATTGCGCACGACTGCGCGAGTGGATAAATAATTATTTATTATTTTATTCTCGTTTCTAGAAGATCAGTGCCAATTATATAATTAATACATAAATCTGATTCGTATCACGGGAAAAATTTATCAGTCATCTAATTCTAACATGAAGCATTTTTAACATTTTTAAATCACAGAAAGTTAAATTTTTTTTACATTTTAAATGATATTCCGAAAACTGCTGAAAAGACAAAAGAAAACATCCGTGAAAGTTCAGGTGATATAGCTTAGACTTCGAAATTAGAAAAAAAAGAAACGGAATCGCGCATAACGTTATATCGCTCTATCGGTCATTATGAATTATTTTTACTGCAGCAACATACAATCTCCCTTCCGCGTATAATCAAATGTGTTAAGATTAGGATACTCCTACATACTTTATATCTCGCGGTATATATATGTATGTATATATATATATATATATATATATATATATACATACATATGTGTATATACATACATATATATATATGGTCGGGCATGCGAGCGAACCCGTTAAAAGTTAACTGCGACTACTATCAGCGTTATAATAAAATATCACAACTATATAGAACCATTGATACAGTTACGGTATCTTAACTTCCACACAGCGTTTTATAGCGTCTCTACTTCTTTTTACTTAGGTAGTTTATCAGGTGTGTACGTTTGTGTATGTGTTTGTGTGTGTGTGTGTGTGTGTTTGTGAGCATGTTTTTTCTTATTTACAACGTATATATGCATTAAAATGACCATGAGTGCATTAGCATGACTCGGAGCACGCATTGACCGACAAGCGACTCCGGAAACTCAGACAACATATTGATAAGATACAAGAAATCAGGTAGACCTAAGTGGTCCGTGCGCGTTTTGTACCCTTAAAATATGTCGATATGTCACCCGCCTAAAATGTCACCTACGTGTTCACCACCCTGTCCACGATCACGTATTTTCTTCCTTACACGTGAACACCTGCGAAAAATATTAATATAACTACAATCGTTCGAATGTCCATCCAATCCTCTCGGTACTATCCCTCGAAATCTCTTTGTCAGTCAAGACCTGCTCGTGAAAAAACGTGACTAAAATCATCATCGAGTAATACGCGCGAACTTATGTAAGGAGAGTGACGAGAAAGGATATGAGGATGAAACTTATCGCTATCGCATGGTATGACTACTTGTCTTACATGCGTACACATGTATGTGTACGCACGTCCGACGTTGAGAGATGAAACCTAAGGATATGACTTGTGTTCTTTTTTCTCACGACTCACGTGGAGGACGATTACGGTAGTATCTTTTTCCTTTTTTCCTTTTTTATAATGCGACGCGAGTATCTCTACTGTTATACGTGGAAGCATGTATGTATGTATTTATGTATGTATGTATTTATGTATGTATATGTACAATTGGGCGCGGACCGATCCGTTATACTGAAACCGAGAGGTGGATACCAATAGCAAACGGTTTTACGATGACTGCGATGATCACTGATACGTCATAGCGTGCTCAGTCTATGTCGAAGAAAAAGAAGAACGGACTTCCCTCTCTACTTATTCCTTTCTTTTTTTCCTCATTACAGTTAATTACCCAGTGTAAATACGATTATTCGTTAAACAGGCACATCGATTGGTTAAATATTTTTTTTTGTTTCCTCGTACAATGTGTACAAACGTATTGATTGCGTATAAGGGCAAAATCTTAAGATAAGGATAATAAATTGCGTAACTATAGAAACAAAGAAAAAGATGATAATTATAAAGAAGAAATAAAGAAATCTAGGGTTGCTTTTACCGAAGCAAGTTCGGCATCGTTAGATTACATCAATTCGTCTGATGCCTCTCGATATAAAGGCACTCGAGAGATTTGCGAGGCTATCATGGACCCGATAGCCGTAACGGCCCTGCTCTATAAGTTAAATATAGTTAAATTGCAGCTGTATATATCGTTTGTCGTTTACTTATTGTATCGCGTAAAGGGCTCTCTTCTCAATGATACCGGTAACATGTTTAAAACTTCGTTACACCTACACTACACTTGTATATCTTTATATATCTATATATTCTGTAATTTTCTCCTCTCTTTCTTTCTCTCGCTCTCTGTCTCTCTTCTCTCTCTTTCGTATACACTTTCGCTCTCTTTCATTCTCACTCTACGTGTAAAATATCTCTAATTAAACTTGGACGTGAATCACTCTAAACAACATACCGCAATGAATCCCATATACACGAATATTACCATTACAAACTTTCTATACATTTATATTAATAGAATTAGCGAAACAATGCCTATAAGCGTTATTCCATTAAATCACGAAATACATATATTAGCAGTTGCGCACAATACGCCTATACCTGAAGAACGACGTGCGTATACCATATCTATGATATCGCCTGAGAATGATAAATTAGAGTGAAATGAGAGTGAAAATCGGTGATGTAAGATGTTGACTGTAGTTCGGAAAATGCAACAAGGAAGAACATGATTGAACAAGAAAAACATAATTGCGAAAATCGTTTCATGAAAACTATTTATAAATAGAATTCTCCCCTCCCAATTATCATTACTATTATTATACTATTATTATAATATATACGCGGAAAAAGAAATATGCGTAATATGTGAATTTATGATATATCCGCGAGAAATTCTACCATAAAACCCATTATGATATTTTATTGCTGTTTGGCATACATTTCTTTCACAGAATGCTTTCCCTTTTCTCTTTTCCTCCTAGCCTTCAGGAAGAAATCACTATACTCTGTACTCTGAAAAGATAAACTATCACTTTCTCATTTCTTTTTCTTTTTTTTTTTCCACTAATTTGTGCAATGTACTTGGTTCATATATCTTCCTCTTGTCAAAATGCAAAACATGAATGGAAAAAGAAATATTCATAAAAGATCGTTAAACTTATATACAATTTATGACTTTTTCAAAATTGTGGTCACACATAATTTCGTATTTCAAACCACAAACTTAAGGCATGCTGCCTGCAATATGCTATTTACACAATTCGAAACAAAATATGTTAGACATAAGAACGATGTGATGATTAGCAATGAGAATGCTAATGGAGATGATAACGATCATGATGGAGATGAAAACAATAAGATGAATGTGAAGATAATATAAAGTAATAATCTAAGAATAATAAATAATGAGACTGTTCCAAAAAAGGCACGTCAAAGCTTTTGTCGATTCGGATGTCGTGCAATCACCTTAATAAATTGGTGACTCGATTCTAAATTTCTTGCTTATTTCTGACGAATATTCCTACACCTACGACAACCCGAATAATCCTACTCGAAGAAGTTCGGAATATGCGATATAACTAAATAATGTACGTGTGGACGTATCTGTATGCATGTACGTGTATATGTGTATGTGTAATGTATACTTGAATAACATTTGAATAATGTTACAAACTACAAAGAATAATGTGGCTACCTCATTAGTGTTGAGTGCCCGTTATAAATAAAATATCGTAAAAGATTATAGAGTGCTACATCCCTTAGCGATATTCTTAATGTAATCGAAAAATTCCACGAGCAAGAACAAAACGAACTACTACGACAATTGGAAAAAACCTAGTTCGCTAAAATAATTTTGTTAAGGAGCATTAAAAACAAGATACTCGCGCGCGATACGTCCTGCGATATATCATAAAGAAATGCAGACTCACTACGCAGTTAAATTAAATCGCTATTATAAATCGCATATGTTCGTTAATAACAGTTCCACGCGCATGTGGATCGGCACTGCCACTACGTGCATATCTTGTCTATCGTCGATATTAACGTTCCCGATCTGTTTAAGTCACACATCAGTTCCATATATTTATATGTGTGTGTGTGTGTGTGTGTGTATATGTACAATAGAGAAACTATACGTATGGGTCTTAAGCAGATTGGGACAATTCGATAGAAAATTTTGGTCTGTACAATGTCCTTATAAACTCTACCGTTCCCGTAATAAAACTTCGGTGTCTCTGGAAACTTACGAAATTTAATGTATGCCGCATACGTCGAGATATATGTCTCTTGGAATTAAAAAAAAAAAAGAAAGAAAGAAATGTGCCAGATGAGAGATTTTGTTGTTGAAAAGAGTACCGATCGTATAACTTTTCCCTAGGGCGGAAACGTGAAAAATTTCTTCATTAATGATAAAAATGTTTACTTTTTCATTTCTGCTTAAAGAAAAAAGTTAAATGATCGATTCGCATATAATTGCATATCAAAGCAAGGTTTTTTCCTCCGATTTTTTTCCTCTTATGAAATTGTTACGATAAGACGATGAAATTGTTTCGGACACATAAAGGACGTAACAAACATATACAAAGAGATCTAGTTATATTGACCGTGATCTCGTATCTCACTTCTTATGAGAGCGATCGGAAGGGAGTGGTCGCTGCTTATATATAGGACGGATTGTCAAAATTTTTGTCTTAATGTTTGAGCTTCTGCTCTTTGCTCTCTTCGGCCAACTTGCTCGATAATGTATTTGTGCTACTGATCGCAAATCGCAGCGGTTCGGAATTTCCCTACCCGCTCACTTACTGACCAGGTGCACAAAAACGGGGAAAATCAACACGACACTTTTCTTTCTTTGTGCCATTTGATATCGATTACATGTTCGCTGATTGGCACGAGCGGCTCGTAAGTTCCCAGAAAATCGTACAATTACTCGTTATTTGTTCGTACACAATTCTTATTCACGACTCGACGGTAATAATTTATTCGGTAAACCATAAACTGGAAGGTTGGTATTGGTGTTTGGCTGGCGAAAGCGGGGCCAATCCATAAACGGCTGTAGGCTGCATATGTGCAGGCAACGGATGTGCTGCGTGACTCGCCAGTAACGGTCTGGCCGAGCTGTGATGAGCTGGCGGTGGCAATGCTCGACTAGAATCATACAACGTTAATGGAGACGAGCTGTAAAAAACGGGATAACGCACATTAGAAAGTCTCCATTAAGCTCTAAAAAAAGAAAATTATAAGTTTTTCCCTTATAATATAAATAGTCAGAGCTAAAAGCAAATACTTATATAAAGGAAAATTCAGGAAAAGCAGAAAACAACTAACTTTTAAAAAATTCTACATTCTAAATTTTCATCGGCAGGATCTCAATGTTTGTCATCAAATAAAAAATTCACGACAAGATTCAAATAAATATTCTTTGCACTTATATGCAAATTCTATTTCCTTACAATTTATAGCACATTACGAACAATAACATAAAAGAAAATATTCTTTATTGTAAGCTTGAATAAACTAAAAAAATTTAGTGTATCTAACGTAACTTTCTGCTACACGAACAATCATAATTAAGGCTTAGTTTTAAAAATCGAACTATAGGATGCTATCGAGAAATATGGAAAATAATCATCGATTTCCTGCGAATCCGCGCTTCGACTTATTGCATGCCACAAAAACGTAACGTTTATGAAAGAAAAAACTTGCAATAGCAAGTCTACTTTTGGGTCACAAATCACATAAATTTACTGCTAGAAAAAACAAGAACAAAGATGTAAAGATGGGTAAACGCATGCGTGCATCAACTAGTTCTCTAGTTACCCACCCGGGTGTGAATCCTTGATACGTGGGTACTTGTTGTTGCTGGATAGCTGTAGCAGCCTGTGATGGTGCCGCGGTAACGTACACAGGAGGCGGCACCGCGTGGGCTCTCGAACGCACGTGAGCGTATTCCTGGTAGAGGGGCTGTCCCAAATGCTGGGCACTTCCTATCACAGGCCCTCCGGCGGGACTCCTACCACCGCCACTGCCGCCGGGACTTAAATGAGCCGGATGCCCGTGATGCCCGTGACTATGGGTATGACCCGGATGGGCTGCCGTACCTACTACCTGGCTCTGCCTACAAAATGCAAAACAAAATCCATCCTTTCGTTATACGGTCCACATGCACCGTTTACTCACGGCAGTATGTCTCTTTAAGGGTGAAATAGAAGATTTAACGGATGCGTTCTCAACTCTTAATATTCGCAAGCTTCTCTTCCGGTCTTCTCGACGTACGATCGAAAGAAGAAATAAACTAATTAATTTTAAGAAAACTTTGTTCTATGGTTTCTGATAAAGATTCACATGCCATTTACTTGCCTAAAATTGTGTTAACTGCTTGTCACGTTGGCTCGCTCGTTTCTTTTTTAAAAAAGTTCACATGCACGTAATGCGGCGATTATTTGATGAGAACATGCTCCGTCGCTATGTATCGTGTCGTTTAAAAATCGTTCTAGAGCTTATCTCATTATACATGCCTCTCATTATACATAACTCGCGTTAAAAACGCGGGCAATCATGACGAGAAAGATGATCCTCACCTATATTGATGCACAGGATTGGCCACCACCCACTTCTGATGGTCTCTCGAGTGAGCAGCCGGTGGTTGAACGTATTCATGCTTGTACTCAGCTCGCTTCCCAGGCCAGGACACTCGTTTGTCCGTGCCGGTCGTGTACACGATATGCTGCTCTTGGAGGTGAGGATGCGCACTACTCGTGGTCACATACTGTAAGAAGGGGTCATGCATGTCATAGATGTTATCCTAAAAACATTTACCAAACAAAATTACTAAAAAAATATTTAAAAAAAAAAGAAAAATGGCCGTTAGACGCGGCCTTCTTCCCCTTCTTCCTTCTCTCTAGTCGTTCACTTTGTCAGATATTCTATAGAATAATAAGTGAACAAAATAGTTGAGGGATTCCAAGAGAATTGCAAATAAAAATGTATGAAGAAATTAGAGATGATACTGGAAAATAGAAATCTTAGTTAACCTGATAGGTCGGTGGCTCTTTGCAAGCTGGCGCGTGACACGGATGTGGAGCAAGGTACTCAACACCGGGTTCCGGTTTCGTCGCGACGTTCACCATGTTACATTCAGACTGCACCTTCGCCAATAGCCGCTTCTTTTGTGACTGAGAAGAATAGCCTGAGCTACTGCAACAATGATAGCAAAAGTTAATTAAGTTTAGCAATATTATGCACATTTTAAGAATTATTTAAGAATAAAAAACTAATAAAAGTAACGAAATTTAATTTTAAAAATAATTGAAGAATTATTTTATTGATAAATTCCGCAGATGTCGGTATCATCAATGATCGAAGCTTCATCAGCTCACCTGCTGACGTGATGTTGTTGCTGCGGCTCGTGCTTAATTAACTGCGTGGTTTGCTGATGCTGCGGATGTTGCGGCAGATATAAATGAGCATGCGTGCGACTTGGGCTAGCTTCGCCGTCGCTATCACCAACAGTGACACAGCTAATGATATTCTTGCGATGCGTTCGATGTGATGACGAGCTGCTATGCGTTGTAACGTGCCCACCCGCATGTTGCTGACTGCTCGCGTGTGTTGACTGTTGCATCGGCTGTATTACGCGGGGCGTCGATTGAGTGCTGCAAAATGAAGAAGAAGAGACTTCTTTATTTAGAGTCATCGAGGCAGTCATCGTCGCGTACTTTAACCATTGGCAAGTTAATGCTGCATCCATGAAATATTGCATGCTAAAGATGATTTACAATGATATTATTTATTAAGTGTCGTAGCTTTGTGTTAGTCGACAGTTGTTTCACACCAAGCTCCGCAATCAGATCCCTAAATAGCCCGTATGTACTCCGTTATAAATCCAAACAATTTGTATTATTCGAAACAGTAATGGATTAAAATATTTATAGTTTATACTAAGGATATAATATAAATTATGATGACATTTATGAGAACATCTCTATAAGCTATAAAGACTAAGTTATTTTTCCAAGGTTTCCGAAGCATAGCGTTCATTAGATATTAAATGATTTTGAATGATTTACTAGCAGAGTATCGAAATGAAAAGTAGCAAATTAATCTTATCTCTTGTGACGCTTACAATCTGTTAACTATATATTCTTAACAAGATTTAATTAAGTATCATTAACACCGTCATATTACATTAATATACCTTCGTATGATTTCTTCACGGACAGGACGTCCGTCGCCCGACAGGCGAGTTGCCAAACTTTGACAGGCGCTGCACTGACGGTCTCCACAGCTGTCAATAATATCCATGCGTGATTGTACTACCAACTAATAACTAATAGATGTATAACGCGTGCTTAAATAAATTCTTTTACAAAAGGTAATGCTAAAAGATCTGTCAAAAAATCTATTAATATTTTAAACATATATATTCTTAATATTCCCTTGACTTGCCTATTGGGAAAAGTAATTTGTAAATTTGAATATAATTTCGATAAATGTAAATTTCGATACTATAGACACATGAAAAAAATACACTGATTACATTTTACATATATACGAATAAACATGATCATTATATGTATCTATAATATTATCTATAATATCAAAATCTGAACTCTACGAAATTGTACCAGTTTCAATCTCTACTGAAATTAAAGTCTAAAGAGTCTAAAAATTTGAAATAAAAAATATATCCCTAAACTACAAAATTTTATCACATTTGATACACTAATTTATAATATATATATATACTGGGAATGTAGCACTTGGTATAACACTCACCATTTTCCAGGTGCCTCGTCTTCACTATCACTGATCGTGATAACGGAAACGGCTGGTGAAGGCGTGTCATCAATCGTGATGGTTTGTTGCCGTACGGATGCGACTGGCTGATGTTCCACGTTATGACTACTACTGTGTTTGCTACTGTGATGATGAGACTGAACTGGCTGTTCCTGCCAATGACTGCTCGGTGAGTGTCGTCGCATACTACTCGGCGGTGTGCTCTCCTTTACCCGTTTCTTCACAGGACTGAGTTGTTGCGTCTCTTTCTTGTGTTCATGTCTATGCTGAGTCTGCTGAGGTACCGTCACATGATGCTGATGATGTTTGGTGACGGTGCGCTTGCCCCAGCTCTGTGACGGATGCTCGACAAGTGCACTAGCATTGTAAACTTCCGTGACAGGAAATACCGGCCGCTGATCCTTCCCCAAAACAAGGGAGATTAGTTAAAAACTGCGAATTTTCTAATTTTATAACGTGTAAAACATTACGAAGAATGTTTTACAGAAGATGAAGTGACAATTAAGATGATGTAAAATATCACAAAAGAAAAAAGAAAAGCAACATGCATATACTAATAAGCTTCAATTTTTCATTGAATATTACGGAGAGCAATTTATTAACAAGTACTACCTGTAGAATAGCAGAGCTATCGACGATTAGGGGCCTTCCCCAATCTCCAGTATCGCTGAGAAGTGGTTGTTGAATGTGCTGCGGTGGCAATTGCTGCCACGATGGTACGATCGCAGCCATCTGACGACTTCCACCAGGCCAAGATGTCTGCACAGCATTCTATGATGATCAAAAATGTATATAAAAACATAACAGACCATTATACGGTCATTTGGAGGTGAATATTATTTTACTTACGGTAAGCAACATTTGCCGACCAGTCTCGACCATAGACACGGGAACTGCAGCGTATTGTTGTTGAGCAGCTACAGCTGCCGCGGCCACGGCTTGCTGCGATATAATGGATGATTGTATCTGCAGAGGTGCTTGTTGCGCTTGTGGTGGCTATAAAATAAATTGTTATCAATGACTAATCGTTCCGATAATAAACTTATTGCTCATATAACTATGATAACTATTCTTACTTGAGCAACAACTACGTGCTTCGCAGGACTTGGCATAGTTTGGTAGCCATGTGGTGGACACAATATACCGGGTACCAGTTGATGTGGAAAATCGTGAACTCCACTTCGTCCGCTGTTGGATCCGCTAGACGAGCCACTATATTGTGTCGCTCGTCTACTGCTGTTACTATATATTTGGTACTGAATTTGGATTTGGAACAAAATATAAATTATGTAGAGCCCAACAGTTTTAAAAAAATGTTTTTACATAACTTAAAATACAAGAGGTGTAATACAAGAGTTATATAAACATACCAGATTGTCATATCCTGTTTGTGCGGTGCGGTGCTCTCTGACTAATCGCTGCACTTGATTAGACAATTGGTTGTTGAAGGTGAGAGTCACCGCACTGCCGTTAGTAGTCGGTACAAAATTGGCTACTAAAGACGTTGGTGGAGGTGGCTGAGGCGCCGGCGGAGCCTGATGATGCGCAGGACTCGCAGTAAAATCTCCCGCGCGCCTGCAAACCTCCATCATCTGGACGGAAGCTTTGACGTTGTTACAATGCGCGTAATCGACTAGATGTGCCAGAGTAACAAACGCATGATTCAGTGCCTCGCCGGGTGTTATACGGCGCTCCTTTAACACAAATAACACATTCGTATGAGAAAAACTCCGTATGTATACAAGAAAAAATTTCGTTTTTTAATAAATAAATTAAGAGCATCAATTAGATATTACTACCTGGTCCATTGTAAGCATCCTCTTCAAGAGATCAATGAACTCTCGCCTATCCGCTTTCTCTGGCAAGAGTTGACCGCCGTCTAAGTCAGTAGGTACATTAACCTGACCGATATCGTCAAGGCAATTAAAAATATATTTTCTCGCTTCCTTGGATTTGATACCAGTCTCTGCCTCGTGTTCTTCCGGTGTCTTTAATCGCCAAAATGGATATGTACCTAAAAATATGTGTGGAATTTATAAGAAAAGCTCTTGCTATTCGATGCTGTTATTTTGTATAAAGTTACATACTGTCCATGTCCCGGTAAAAGAATTTTGTTGTTTTGCTGGCGTTGTTTAGCATATGCTCCGTCGGTAGGCCCTGCGTTTGACTTATATATCGAATTTGATCATATTCGGAACTGCCTGGATATAAAGGCCATCCCAGAAATAATTCTGCAACCACACAACCGAGAGACCACATATCTATCGCTTCACAATACGGAAGTCCCAGTATGATCTCGGGTGCGCGATAGTATCGTGATTGCAGATAAGTGTTACAGACGGCTTTGGATACATGCGAGGCCGATCCGAAATCGATGACTTTCACTCGATAGGGCTGACGCATTGGATCCACCAGCATAATGTTCTCCGGTTTCAAATCGGCATGTATCAATCCTAATTGCTGCAAAGGTAAAGGCATTTACACATTAATTCTCAATGTCGATCCAAGTCAACCAAATGACGCACGCATGATTATGATGATCCTGTACCTTCAATTTCAATAGCGCGGTCAACACTTGTTGGAGAATGGGCCTAATGTATTTGAGAGGCAGGGGTGAAAATTTATTCTGCTTCAAGAAATCGTAGAGATTTTGCTCTAACATTTCAAATACCAAGCAGGTATGTGACTTGTGCTGAAAGCACTCGTAGGCGCGCACGAAATTGAACTCATCCGCATTTTCCTGACTAAGTCGAGACAGGATGGAGACCTGCAAAAACGTTTTTTTTTTTTTGTAAAACATAATAAGCTGCTCAATGTAATATAGGATATAATTCAGTTGACGTTTACAAATATACGTCTACACACTTGACGTTGTTGATTTTACTAATATTTACGCGGTGCGTACCTCAATCTGACCTTGGCGCGCATACGATGGATGGTTCTTAAGAATTTTGATGGCTACTATGTCGCTTGTCCCTTTTTTCCAACATTTTACAACCTACAACAAAAATCAATTGTCAATTTATATATAATCCATTCTCACAGGAGAAGGATGAACAATCAATAGTTTAAAATATAAAAAGTTAAAGTTAAAAAATTAAAGTCATATTACGCGTTCTGTTCTCACCTGTCCGAAAGTACCTCTGCCGAGAAACTCGAGGACCTCATACTGATGGGTCATGGAATAAAGAACTTCGTGCTGCACCAAATGATAATCCCCGTCGCCCTGGGGATTGCTGCTGCCGCCGCCGTTGGCCGCGTTGGCCACTTGTTTGCTATGCGCCGTCATGCTTGCCTGCTTGCTGTGCTGTTGCTGCTGTTGTTGCTGCAGCTGCTGTTGCTGTTGGGTATGATGCTGCGACACTACAGTACTACCCACCACATTCGCGTTGGCGGAATGGACTGCCAGGCCGTCACCATTACCTTCCCTCGACCAAGTTTTTCTCTATAGAAGTAATATATCTTATATAAAAATATATTTTTGGGTATTAAGAGATTGACCACCGAGTAGACTGCGGAAGAGCGGCGTCAAGTTGAGTAGTTGGGAAAGCGGTAAAATGAAAGCAATTACGCTGAAGGGCAATACGTCGATACTCTTACAGAAAACCAATTTAATAAATTACTTTAATAAATTACTAACACTTTAAGTATTAGAAGCACTATTGTTCAGTGCTTGTAATGTTCCAAATATGTAATTAACTACACTACCTTCCACTTTGTCAGATATTCAAGCAGCAATATGATAACCCAATATCTCGAGTTAAATAACTTTAATTTTTAACTTCCATGTGTGTCAAAATGTAAATCAAATCATTTTCGTCAGTTAAACTGTTTAGTTTCAAGTAAACAACGTTCGTTAACACACAACACAACGCGTATGTAACACTTACTAAATAATTTAATAAACTAAAAATTCAAATAAAATTTAATACATTTATTTTATCTTAAAAAATGATTAGGTACCTCATAGGAATTGTGAAAAAATATTTTTAAGAATTTTCATTTTAACCCAGAATGAATGTTTTTACAAAGTTTCATCAAAATCGGAAGACGTTTTCGGAACTTTATCCCAATTCTTAAATTGTTTAACTCCATTGTGTTAATTAAATTAACACAAGTAAAAGTATTAAGTAAAAGATCCGTAGAGATGGTCAAATAAAAAAATAAGTGAAATTTGTTTCAATTTATAGAAAAAAATTTGTTTTAATTTGTTTGAAATTCGTGTAAAAAAATTGTGAGAAAAATTTTCACCAGGGTAGAATTAAATTTCTGTAAGAGTACACAGCTCTCAACGGCATACAACTCGCACACTCCCCCAGAAAAGGCAAAGATGCGAGCTACTACCTGTGACAGACGGGCCCAAGAGCCGGAGATTTTCCTCGTCGACGTCGACGCAAGAGAAAACTTCGATCGCCACCGATTGCGTGATTCGCATTCGCGCGCCGTTGGAGATCAACGGACGCGTGTCTATAGAGCCAACGTTACGTATCGCGTACATTTCGTGCGTTCTATACGTGAGCAACGGGGCGCTGAATCAAACGTCTGCTCGTCTCCCCCGATAATCGACGAAACGATCGTTCTCCCCGGTGATGTCGCGCTTGGTCGCAGTTTCGTGAATCAGACGGAATTTCGCGGACGTCACGCGGAACAATATGTGCGCATCCCGCGATATCCGCGCGACGCCCGATATGAAATATGTAATGGGAACCTTGAGAGTACAATCGATAGTTAACTACGCCATACGGAAACGTTATCTACGCCGCCAACTACGCGCTCGTGACACCCCGCAACACCGATAGCTGTAACCGAAACACGATCGCTGCCGCTCTGTAATTATCATCGCCGGTGCGCGCGCTTCGGATGCACGTGCACGCGGCGTACGATCGTTAGTCGAGACCGGTCGAAGATCATTTCGGGATCCGAGAAGGTACGTGGAGAACGTTCGAGCGAGAAGAAAGAATTTTTTAAGGCTTTTCCTCGGGCGTCCGTCGACTATACACCCGCTTCCGGGTGGCAACGAACTCGTCTCCTGATTCGCCAGGGCACACGGATACATATTCTCTCTGATCTGCCGCGACGTTCTGAGCAAAGCCAGTCTCGCGTATCGGATGACAAATATTTCTTCTTTCCTAATCTCTTAAGGGCCAGAGTTTTATAACAAATTTATGTTACTTTTTTTTTAGGGAGTTTTTCGGAGTTTTCGCAGAATTGTAAAATTCGAATTTCCAAAAAATGATCTGATTATCGTGAGACACGGTTTTAAAAAATTCTTGATATCTCTGAGTTTTGAATGTAACCTGAAAATATTAAATTTCAAAGTAAATAATAATAATCTTCGTGAAAGAGGATCCAGTGTCATAGGAGACTCATAATCAAAGTTTGAAAGTGAATCTGAAAATCAGTACTAACATTGCTTGCATAGCGCTGATGAGCTTCAAATAAAGCAAAACTGGAAAGTTGACGTTACACTTAGCAATTAGAAACTTCTCAAAACCGAATTTTATGATAATCCAATTATTTATTAAAAATTCTATCCATGCAATATTGAAACTACCATTTTGAATTTTTGACAATTCAGATTCAAATAAAGCTAAATTATCCAGTAGGGCAAGTTTCGTAAAAATCGAGAGCGAGCAGTTTATAAAATAAAAGGGGATCTCAAATAAGGTCCATAAAGGATTAATAAATAAACGAAAGATCCTTTTTATTCCATCAAATAGAGAAAGAATATCGGGAGCACATTTGCGAAACCAGAAGTGACATGCTATAATTAGTCATTCAAGGAAAGATGAAAAGAGAAAGGAATCTATCTCTGATGGGAAGAAGAAGAATATCATCTTGGCTAAAAACCTTCGCCAATTTTAATGAAAGCACCTGATCAGTTCAAAGTTGCTACGTCCAAGATTTCAATCATCTTGACAATCGCAACCTTCGCTAAAAGATGGGCACATCGAGAAGAAAAATAAATAAAGCGACATTACAGAGTCAGCAGGTAGGTGCCCATGTTTTAGTCGAGGATTTTCGAATCGATCGGCGAGTTGTACGCGAGATAATTATATATATATATAAAGCACCACGAATATCGAGCTCGTTTGTAGTGGTATTCATAAAGTTAGTTTCCTGGTAATAGACGTCAGTTTCCCACGACGTTGCGCCGTACGGTCGCAAATCGGAGAATTAACGAGCGTCAAGGAAATTGTGATACCTCCTCTTTCATTAGAAGCTCGTTACCTCTTGGACGTACGTGGCGTTTTGCCGTAAATGCTAAATCAAACACGCGATGAGAATGCGCAAAGATCAATCGAGGACCGCTTGCCGATCATTTCGGAATACTACGGGACATTGGCGTGCATGCCAAACAGATTCCGTTGCTGTTGCTGGCTACTGCGTGCTATTTAAATAGTCAGGAACTTCAGATTAGCCGGATGATTTATGTCCGTTTTCACCGATGTAGATTAACGTTCATCTCCGTCCAACCTCGCCTTCTTCTAGCGCTAAGAATTAGAAAAAGATGGAGAATAAATTGAGCCGAGATTCAAGTTAATCTACATTGGCGGAAACGAGTATTGTGAACCACCCTCGGCAATCCGAAGTTCTCGACGCACGCAAGTCTTAGGTCCATTTCTACCTATGTAGATTAACCCTTCGGAGTTGATGTGGGTCTATTGGGAACCCACTCAGTTATATTATCCCTTTGGGGCTGACAGTGGGTCTAGTGGAGCTACTACGCCAGTCATCGTTAAATGTTTAAATAATAAATATTCTGATGAAGTAAAAATAATTCATCTTTCTCTGTGAAATAATGTTAAAATAAATATATTATGTTTGAGTTTACTTTATCAGTCCTTTTTCTTTATGTAAATGCAATAACTGTAAATTTGAGTTACTCTTGTTAAAATAAATTTACCATACATTCTTTCAGGAGTTGTATCACTTTCATTTTGGTTCCTTGAAATTAATCAGTGCTACTCGTTCGACATATTTTAAACGATGAGAAAAATGTCGAAATATTGCGAAGCGCGAGTTTAACTTGCTCTTCGCTTTTTTCCCTAATTCTTAAAATTAGGTAAAAAAAAAAAAAAAAAGAAACAAAAAGTAAGTTGAATTGAGTTTAAAATTAATCTCTATGGTAGAAATGTACATATTAGTGTTGCAACAGAAACGGCGAGAATCGCGCGACGTGACAAAGCGCAACGACGTCACGAGACATTTCGTATACCTAATCGTACATACGGCGGAACGAGAATGTTTAGGAGACACTCGTATCGCAAGCGCAATGAATCAGCGAAAACATCGTGACACGCAGCTTCGAATCGTGCAATATCACCGAATCGACATCGAGTCGCAACTGCGACGCGAAACTTAGCTGGAACAAATAAGAACGACAAAGCACGAGAGAGAGAGAGAGAGGGAGAGAGAGAGAGAGAGAGGAAACGTACCGGAGGATGATGTGTCGTGTCAGACGAGGAGATTAGTGCGATTCTTAAGCGTTAGTTAAGCTTTAGTGCCACGCACATCGGAAACGGATTTCACGTCAAAAGCTTTGCGAGGTCTCGGAGAGTTGGGACTGGCCTCGTCGCCGATTAATCGCGGGGCGATTCTATTGAACGGAATTCTCGTGACAGGGGACTGTTGTGCGTGCGAGAGGCAGCCGAGAGATCGGTACGTAAAATAAGCAACGGATAAGCAGTGAAACGACGACACGCGAACGGCGAAACGGACGGTGCAGCATCTTCTCGCTGTACACAATCTGCAGATCGAGCCTTTCCCTTTCGCCGCGGCTTGCAGCAAGAGGCATCACAGTTGCGAAGCGAGAAGTATCACGACTTCGTTGCCAAAGCCGCGTTCTCGGCTGAAACGATCTAGCTCTCGGTCTGAGGCCGTATGCCAATAAGCGGTAAGCGGTCATTAAGTTTTATTCGCCGGAGAGCGCGCTAAAGACGGCGACGCGTGCAAGAACGGACGGCGGATGGAAAGTTTTCTCCCTCTGCCTGCCCTCCATTAAGGGGAATACAGAAAACTATAACGACGAGACATTACCGTAGTTATTCCCGTTCTCGTAATGACACACGTGTACGTGTGCATAACGGCCGATCCGAGAGAATACGAAGAATACGCAAACGGCGAAACGGCAACGAAGCTGCCGCGAAACTCGAAACCCCGGCAAACAAACGACATTGAGACATTGCGAATTGTTTGCTCATTGTGCGGATTACGCGCCGTACTGAGGAAAAAAAAAAAAAAAAAAAGAAAGGACGACATACGAAAACTGCGCGTTTGCAGACGATAAGTGCGAGAAATATGGACAAACGGATATATAATGCGTAGATTCGAGACATCGCCTCGTATCAATTTAAAATACTCACATATATTTCATGAATATTTAAGAAAACATAAAAATTATGTCGTATACCAATATTTATTAGGTATAAAATAATAATGTGGTGCCAGAAACCGATTACAAAAGCCTGTGCGGTAGTCAAAAATATTAATGACGAATACTATTGGAAAAAGAGAGAGAGAGAGAGAGAGAGAGAGAGAGAGAGAGAGAGAGAGAGAGAGAGAGAGAGAGAAAAGGAGACTCATTTCCGTTTTTAGTCGGTGTAGATTAATCTCGATGTAATTTACTTTATATCTTTTTGTAGTTCTAAAACGGGATTAAGAAAAAGAGTAAATTAAACGGAACGTTAAAATTGATAATCTACGTTGGTAAAAATAGACATCGATCATGCTAACGTCATTAAAAAGATCAAACAACAAAAGTACAATATAATTGCAGACAAAGGGTTAAAAGTATAGCGGACAAGACGCAAGAAGTCGACAGGCCAGATTTAGCGCGTCGGATACGCACAGTATAGACATGCGGGGTGGTGGAGGGGACGGATTGTCCATCGAACAATTAGAAGCGCGGCGACAAAAGAAACGTAGGAAGTGGCGTGAACCAACCTTCTGGCCACAGCGCTGGTACGTGTCTAAGAGCTTGATCGTCGAGGCTCGTACCAGGGTCTGCTGGTTCGGGCTACTCTTCTGCAGCGCATTATTGTTGTGCAGCGAGCTAAATGCGGTATTAGCACCGTTCACGGAGTACCGTTGTTGCAGACCGGTATTGTCCAATTGGTAGTCGCTGGTCGATTGGACCAATGCGTGCTGGATCACCGGCTGGCTCACGTTGTAATCTAACTTGCGCTTCTTGCTGGGGTGGTGAACGGTGTTGTTACTGCTGCTGCTGCTGCTGCTGCTGCTGCTGCTGCCGTTGACGCTACTCGTCTGCTGTGTTTGGATGAACATGTCACACATTCCCTGCAATCGGAAAGTAACGACCTCATTAGGTGTTAAACGTCGGCGGTCCATTAATTTCTTCACGACGTTGAATGTTTATTCAATATTATAATCGATATCTTATTATCGATATCGGTTCCTCGGATAGAGATTTTTTTTTTAATTAATACGAATAAGGAAGAGAAGTGTCGAATACAGTCGAGGCCGAATCTTTGTGCCTAATAATATTTCTGTATAAATTTGAAATAAAAAAGGAAAAAAAATTCTACTTTCGATCGAAACGAATCATCGGCACTTGACGATATTCATATGCAAATGTTTATATGCCAATGAAAAAATTTTCAATTCTAAACTACATGCGGTTTGTCGGACTTGAAACGGTAATGATAAACTGAAGCTGGAAATAACATCACAAATTACATTGATCTTTAATTTAATAATAAGATTAATAAACATTTGAAAACACCGCAAAGCATTTATTGTAAAAAATATCACCTCAACTGAAATTTGAACCAGGATCTACTTCATTCTATGCAAGCGTCTAATTAATTCAACTACCGAGGAGATATGTATAGAGAATTTGCTGCCAGTGACCAAAAGAGAACGTCATTTTTCAAGAAGCGTGTATAAACAATTATATAAGTGAAATTTCAACTAACAAGAATAAATCAAAGGAAAGAAGGAATTCTATTTTCGGTTAAACGGTTGACCGAAAATTTGCAGTTGACTACAAATAGGATTCCTTCTCTCCTATTTATTCTCATCGGCGTCTAATTTTACTTACAAATTTTAAATATACCTTTTAATGAAATAAATTAAACGCGCGCCGATTGCTGTTGGACTTGAAATTCAATCATAAACACCGAAGCTGAAATAATATAGACTGAAATAATAGATTTAATTGTTAAAAGAATAGTAGTAGCTTTTGAACATCTTGCCGTATCGCAGAAAATTAAAACGACACCAATACGTTAAATATTCAAGCAGTGACACTGTTTCTTCGAACATTTGAAAGACACCTCGACGCAAAAGTATGTGCCACTGTGGCGGAAAAAAAGACCGCGGAGGAACACAAAAAGTAAAGCCAACGATCATGAATATTTGAAAGCCTTCTTCGTCGACGTGTGTCCACGTCGTCAGTTTGAGTCAGTGATTCTCAAAGAGCCAGATATCATATTTCTACGTGCATTCTGCGAACAAGCAGAGAGGGGCCGCTTCCCGGTTTTTTTCCAATAAGTACGACTGTTTGTTTGCGAAGAGCAAACAATTTCCACGAGGCTTACCGGTTAACCGTCTCCGACGAGTTTATCGCCGTCATAGCTGAGAATTCTCGCCGCTCGTTTCCAAGCTATTAGCCGCTCTTATCATGCGGATACATTAACATTTTATGTTTTTCTCGAAATAACCTATCAGTTTCGGGACTCTATTTTAAGAACTTCTTAGCTCTTCAACCTATCGCGGGCAACCGTAAATCTTGATCACGAGTGTGAATACGCCCTGCTACGTTTTTACATTGAAAATTATTACTTTGTATGCGAAAACGATGTGTTCGTATCATGCAAGATGACATACGCAACGAATGAGTGCTCCACCCGAAAACGTTATCGCTTGGCAGCACTTGCTTCTCGACATTATAATCAGTTTAACGTCAAATAAAAAAATTCAGATTGATAATTGAAGGATCGGATGCACGCACAGTTTCTGTAAAAGATGATTTAAATCGAAACTTTATACTTTTTGTATAAAACTTTTGTATAAAAATTTGTATAAATATGTTGTATATATATATATAAAACAGTTTAACGATACATAATTTTATAATTTGAATAAAATTTTTTGCATCTGAAATATTTTATTTCAAATATGTTTTCGTTATTGAAAAAAAAAATTTCATTTAGATTCTAAATCACTGCCAAACTTTTTGTACGTATTACTACTTTCACAGTGTATACAGAAAAATTCGTAATATTTCCGTAATTTTTTCATTTTGACAAAAAATGTATACGCAATACGTCCTTAATGTCGCAAAGGTTCTCCTTAATTGCAGCGGCGTGCGGTACCATTTTCTCATTTGATATCAACACAGCGTAATTCTATTCTGATCGCACTCAGATACGTAGTATTGCACAATACGTTTGTGACTCATAGTCGGAGTTGCCGCCCGAATAATACCGGGCGTACAAAAACAACCGATCGATCGCAATCCCGCAGTGTCTGGGAAACAACGCGATTTCAATTCTACCCTCTCGGGTTCTCCCTCCCTTCTTCAACTTATCTATGATACCAGTACACGTCTCGTTCTCCCTCTTTCTCTCTCTCTTTCTCTCCCTCCCTCCCTCTCTCTCTCTCTACTGTTCCCGCCGTCATTTACCCGCGCGATGTGCTCTAATTATAGTGCTGACTGTCAGAAATGCTGGTCGGCATTATGAACGATCTACGGTACCACGAGGTACAGTTACGTTTAAGTTAACCGGCTCGACACCCGTCGGTTCCTAACAAAGTGGTGCAAACAAGTAGTACGATCATGCAGAAGGTCGCATGGCGAACTGTAAAAAAATAGCATTTTGGTGCAGGGTTGCGAAAAGACGTATTCCTCGCGTTTTCCAATTTTAACATCGGAGTATGCATTAATATTGAACATTGAGTATTAAAGCATTAATTGAGAAGATTAACAACTATATTATATTCTCGATGTCCGAGTTGGAACTTAATAATTACGTACTAATCACGTATGTGTTTTTAGAGAAACTCTCAAGTACAGAACAAACGTGGACTTTTATAAAATGATAAACAAGGCGAGTCACACGTAAGCCCGGTTTATTACTTTTTTCCATATGTCACGCAGTGTGGTACACACGGAAAGACGTACGTGCTCTCTCTCTCTCTCCAATCTTAATTAAGGTACATTAGTATTAAAACATTAGTTAAAGAAATTAATAGCACGTTACGTTAAACACTCGTTCGTTAAAACTTTGTTTAATACGCACTAATCATTGATTTATTTGTTTCTTTTTTTTTTTACAAAGACTTAACTTTTAAGTACAGAACAGATAGACTTTTGGAAAATAACAGGCAAGGCTTACGCATAATATACATATAATTGTATATGTATATATATGTGTATATATATATATATATATATATATATATATATATATATATTACTGTATGTGTAACCCGTATATTTTGCAACACACGACAACGGCAATGTGAAGCGTAGGAAACGTGTAGACGCAAATGGAGATCGCGGTAATCCGTTTCAGCGAAATAATAAGCAGCCCGTAACTCCGTGGAATAACTCGTCGGAAATGTGTTCGGGGTAATTCATCAGACCGCGTCACGGTGACTCAGCCCCGAGTAAAAGTAACGAAACTTTGCGTCACCCTGTAGCGGCCCCCGCGTCACCCGCATATACATACATGTGGCCGCATGTTCGTGTACGAACGACTACGTAGGTATGCATCACGCGCCGCGCTTATATTCCGCGCGATGAGTCAAGCCGATCGATTGATGAACAGGGAAATCCGAGCTTGCTCGCCGAATGGCGAAAACTTTCCTGGCAAAATTGCGAGGTAGCCAAGTAAACGGCGAAATCCAAGTGACCGCGGTCGTGTCCACGCTATCTCGACGGACTCGCGACATCGTATACAAGGTGACGCAAAAGCTGAGCGATGCGACCAGCTTCTGGTCGTCTTTTTAGGAAAGTACTATTTCCGATTATCTTCTTCTTTCTCTCTCAAATTTACACAGAAAAGTTACACATTTAAAACTAATATATTCTATTCGAATCACAACTACTGTTTCCTATATAAATATAAGCGCAACAACATAAAATCTTTCTTAAACAATTTGATAATCTGAAATTTCAGCAATTATATTCTTGTATCACACACAATGTTGTAAACAATCTAAAAAGCACAATATTTTCTTTCGAAATTGAAAAAAATCAAATGATGAAGATGAAATGGTTATTTTCACTTTATACCTTTATGTGTACGTCACACATACGTTAAAAGAGTTCTTCTAATAATACGAACAGTTTTATTAGACATAATTAAGTTATTTGAAATACATTATAGCGTCAGAACAAAAATTATTCTTATTTTAACAATATAATAACTCTTTTTCATACTACAGCAGGATTTGTAAACCCATTCTAGGAATTTCTAGCAAATATTTTTTCATACGTGATTATACATATGACGGTTATATCTCTTTTAGAGGCCCCGAAATGTTTCAAAAACTATTCCAAGAGCTTGGAAACCTCTACGAGGCTCACCAACTCAATTTGCATACATCTCCTTATATAGGACTTCTGGGCGTTTTCCTTTTACGAGTAGCGTGTCCATCTCGTGGTTAGATCACATACGAAATGGACACGCTTGTTTTTAATAAGACAATTTAATAATATAAAAACAGCTCTTGTTCTAAGAGTGGAGTATAATCAAACAAAAATTATTTTATTTTATTCTATGAAGAAATTGTAATTCCGATTTCAAAATGTTATTTCCTGTCTAATTGTTTTTATTCCTCTCTTAAATCATGAAAATTATTATCACATATAACAAGAATACATTTTTCTTAATTTAATCAGATAAAATTTCTTTATACGAGCAAGTTATCGTATTGATTTAATCTTATTTCAAGATTTATATTTCGAAAGTAAAGATATTCTCGAAACAAGAATATTCTTTTTTTCTGTGTATGTTATGTTTTCGTTACTTATTTTTTACACACAATTCTTGTTTTTTTATTTTTATTTTTGTTAATTTTGTTTCTTTTTTTTTTGTACTATTTATTTTATGTATTGGGTTCTTAATTCTCTCCTTATTTTGTTGGTTAACTACTTTTATTGCTTTTAACGCTTGAGAGAATCCGATTCCGAAGCGTTTAATAAGTAACGATCTCTATTATATGCCAAATCATTTTAAAACTAATAAAAAAAAACGGAGGCAACTGCAGAAACGATTTTAATTTTTCATAACGAATAACTCGAATTTATTCACTGTCTCAAATTTCCA